CATGAAGGACAGTACAGGCATCGGAAGCTTACCCTATGGTCATATGACCGGGGCGCGATTGCGACAAGGGAGGCTCGCGAGGTGCGGACGATGGCCTAACAACTTCAGGTGCGTCGTGGCTCGGCCGCCAGTGAGGCGGTGTCTGCTGCTGAACCTGAGTCGCCTTCCCTGCCAGCTGCTGAGCCCGCGCCACCTGCTGAGCCAGCGCTGGCGGCTAGTGCTGACCCCGAGCCCTCTCCGGCACTAAGTGGTTCCAGCGCTGACGACTCAGCCGAGGGCACGGACTCTTACACGATTCCGTACATGGTAGAAGGTGGCGACGACGCCGATTGTTTTTTTCCGGTTGAGACCACTGCCACTGTACATTATAACGCTAACGATCTGACTAGCACCGCTCTGGCGGTTGACAGCTACGGTGACTCGAACCGGGCCGCTGCTGTTATTATCGACGCCTTTCAACAAGACAGCAGAGACGGGCTGGCTACTTGAAATCAAATATCGTAGATCCTAAGAATATCTGCTGTGCAAGAGACAGAGCGAGAAAGGAGTGAAGAAACCCACAAGTCAGGTTTGACATCCTCTACTCCGACGGCCGCGAAGGTAGGAGCTACATGAGCCACACGGAGCCAGACGAATGCCGTCGAAAAACACGTGGTTGTCATCACTGAGCCAGGCAGTCGCTACGTGACTCATTTTACGTCCGACTTCGGCCGCCCCCTGCACTTGTTCAACGGGCTACACTCAGTGAGCCCGCACTGCGACGATCATATCAATGTGCTCGGCTGCGATGGCACGGCCGTCAAATCCGAAACAATAGGCGGCGTGTTCCGACTGTTTGAGCTGGCCACCGAATCACCCGTACACAGGTTAATCTGACAGCTGCATGGCAACGAGCTGAACCTCCTCCATCTGCTGCTGAGCTTGGAAGGCGCGGCCTGTGCCGGAGAGATCTGGGGGAGGGACGTTGTGGCGTTCAAGCCTACCTAGGTTGGTACACGTGCCAAACCTGCCGGTCGACCTGATTCAGCAGATGAGCACCAAACAGCAGTTGCTGTACCTTCTGGCCTCAGGCGTTCCAAACAGCTCGGTCCCAAACGTGGCAGCCCGGTGGCGAATCGGACCATCGAACCATCTCAGGCAAATATGAAAGCCTATTATCTTCGAATTTATAGCAATGAGTGTTCAAAGTTAACCAAGTATCTATTGATATGTCATGTCCTTACTGTTGAGCATTCACTTATTATCATACCTCGCGCCGTGCGTAGTGCGTCGCATCCTTTGCTGGTTGGTTCATGCTTACTAGTATATCTGTTGACATGTATTCCGTCACATTTAAGGACTGTGGATGTCGATATAATTATATTCACTAAAAAGGCGTAATAATATTTGTATTACACCACTAAAATGTATTTTTTTAATGCTCGGTTAGTAACGTATTGTTCCAATATATTCCCTCCTGTTTTCAGATGGGACCGCTTGTCTGCTCCTCACTCACATCTCTATCAAGACCTCCAGAAGCGTTCTCAAGGGCCTCGTCCAGCGCGTGGTCGGTCGCTATGCGTCGGTATGGTCCACCATCCGGCAAAACAGCGGCTGCGACTTTGGCTTGCGCAACTTGTTTCGGAGCATCGCGCTGCTCCGCGACCTGCCACAGCACACATAGGCCACGGTGCAGCCAGTCCTCCAGCGTAGCGGGTACTGGGTCCGTCCGGAACAGCTTCTGCTAGACATGGTGTGGGATAAGAAACATATGGTCCGCGAACAAGTGGTTCCGATCGTCGCGCCGCTCGTGAGCGGCAAACCAAAGGTCTTCTTCAGCCCAGGGATTTCGCCATCTCAGCTGTAAGCTTCGAGGCCGTGAGAAACACCGAACTGATTCCCTGGCACGGACCAGTCACACAGTCCCCATTGTGAGACCTTAGTGACTGCGAGCTGCGGAACAAGGTGCAGGCACCGCTGGCTGTTTTGCCCCATCTGGTTCACACTAGGAGTGCGACGCAGCGCCGCACTGCCAAGGACGTCTGTGGCTGGAGCTGGAGCTTCGGCAATATGTGGAGCCCAGCTGCGACGGTATTTCTGCTACCGTGCGGTCTCTGCCAACATGTGTTTCAGTTTTGCAGCCTGTGAGCAGTTGCTGTTTGGGCTGGTGCATCGAATACACAGGCTTGGCAAGGAGCAAGATGCGCATGGGGTCACCCTACCGGCCTCCCCTCCCCCCCCCCCCCCCTCCCCCCTCCGCCTTCCTCTCTACGTCCGTGGTGCAGGCTGCAGAACTTGCTGTATGTATTACGTTGTGCACCAGTCTATATATCTTGAGTCATATTCTGTACACATTTTTGTTTGCATCACGTGACTTGTCTCAGAGAATTGAAAGTCTATAGCAATGCTAACCAGCATGCTCCTACGAGTTCATACTCAACAGCACATAGAGTTTCCGCCAAAAGACAATCAATCGGGCAATGTCTGCACCGAATGTTAGGCCTTATACCGGGACATTCTCGTACGACGGCTTAACGAGCGCTCGGTAGCATCGTTTCTATACGCAAAGATATGTTGTGCCGCTTGCCACCAACGGCTTGGTGTTACCTGCGACAGAGCACGTCGTCCAGCATAGGGTGACTGCAACGCCGGGCATCGGTTTTTCGGGGATGTTTCGATCGACTCGCGCCTCACAAAATTTAAGTTTTTGGGAAGAACTTTTGCTATGGCCGTGTACTTTTGGACTCCTGCGCCAAAGAATTTCTTTGTCTCCGTTGATTTTGTTACTGATGACGCACCCTTATGTACATCTTTCACCGACGACCATCTACTTTCATTTGATTCGAGTCACAGAATCCAGCGATGCCAGTAGTGGCTAGGTTATCGGTTGTACATAGTGGTAACTTTATGCACAAACACTTAACAATAATAGACACTGTTTTTTGCACCTTTTGGACGGCAAGCTGGCAGTTGGTCTCCAACAACAATCAATACATGGCAATTGAATAGCAACAGCTACAGGTCCTCAGCAAGCATTTCTTGCCTGACGTTTTCTAGTCTTGAAGTGAGCATTGCAGTAAAGCCCGCCCCGACAACTCAGTTTGCTAGAACCCCTGGCTTCTCATTCACCCACCAGCTGCAGGGTGAGTTGAGTAACTTTCAGGGTTTGCTTTTTGTTTGACTGGAATAGCCTGTAGCCGGTTGTAGCAGCCGCGCTAAAGGCTCAGCACGGGGGCGTAGTAACTGTCTCCCTCCCCGTCCCCCGATGCCTATGTTCTTTACTTGAGCGCCATAGAAGTTTATTGTTGATTCCTTACGATGCCGACTGCCAAGCAAATTGAATGAAAAAAATCTTACTAAAATGAGCACCACAACCTATGCAATATAGCAAGCTCTAGAGTAGAAGAAAGGTTCTGACATTATCTGATCTTCATATCTGATCCTAGGTCAATCAAGCTTCCTAGCTCAGATGATGTGTTGCTTAAGAAAATATTTCGTGGATGTATGGTGTCATCCAACACTCTGTTGCTGCATCATAGAGAACGGTTCCAAAGAAATTGTCTTCCCTGAATGCATGGCGTGCCTTCGACCTGCCGTAGGTCAGCGACCTTATGTTTGAATACTTTTTTGCTGAATAGTGTTAGGTAGGTGATATAAGACGTGGGAGTATCGGCCAGGAAAACTTTGTAAAGATCATGAGCACGTGCTCGTTTTATTTTTATTTGAGGGGAGTATTCCTCATTTCTATGACACGTTGAATTGAAAACCCATCTTGAAGGTTTTTCCATGCAGTTCACAGCCCTGCCCTTCTTCAGATCTAAGTCCCTCTTGTTTCTGAGCTACACGCCCGCGAAGATGGGAAGACTATTGCGGGGAGAGTACTTCAATGTCACCTTGGCATTCATAACGTCATAATCACGTCATCAAAATGTTCCAATTTCATGATACGTGCGACGATTCGGGCCGAGAAAAGAATTGTCGAGCCATTCAGATTTCCTGCACTTGAGTTTTAATAACCAGAACTCAGGTGCAGGAGATATGGAAATAACCTGTTGTTTTATTGCTCACCTTGAAATTAACATTGTGTTTGGGTTAACGTCAGGACAAGGAATTTATGAACAACAATATGTTGCAAGGGCATGCTCTTGATATCAATGCCACCTTGTCTTTACGCCTCATTAAACTGACCCTGTGTTTTTTTCCATTTGACGTCCTACCGGTGGAATGATGCGCAGAAAGCAAAAGGGAAGCACCTATGTACGGCAATCACTGTCTTCGGTTGTAGGAATTGGGAGGGGAATGGACGTGTGGAAGGAACGACACATCTTCTTGACAACTATTGGGGCCCCATGGTGGCAGAGTTACAATCAGGCTAAGGTCAGTTAGGCTACAGCTACAATATCCACCAAAGATTTCGAACGCAGACTCCAAACCACTAGCTGTAAAAATAATTGCAGTTGACCGTCGACCCGGGCTATTTAATGATGACCGAATAAAGTAAAAAACTCGATTCAAGCCCAGAACACCAGGACTCGGACTCGGCCTTGAACTAAACGTCATGAACTATGACTCATAATGCAGTGTGCTTATTTAGAACAATGCGGCTTCCGTCATCCATCCATATCTGATACCTTTGTGCACATCAAACCTTCAGCACATCAAAACATGGTGTTATGTGCAGGTTGGAACAAAGCACTCACTTTTCAGTGTTCTGCTCAAACAATAAGCCCTTCCGCTCCAATTTAAAAATCGAGCCCAGGGCTGCCATGAAACACGTCACGTCTTTACGTAAGTGTATTGATAACAACTAGCACGCATCGCACAAAGACATCACACAGTACTCATTCACGGCATTTGGGGAGACACCAAGGGAACCCGAAGGCGTACAATATAACCGCAAGGAAGAGAGCCGCACGAATGCAAGAAAAGGATGTGTAGATGACTTTCATCATTTCTTAGCAAAGCTTGAGTTTGTTCGCGTAGGCGGCATTAAACGCAATTAAATGTAGCGGGCCCCTCGGTGGTGCGCTCCACCTACAAACGTTAATCTGGGTTGATGACGATATCACAGTGCGGCCTAAACGACTGATATTCCTAGACGTATTGCTGCTGCTCTGCCCAGAACAGCTCGGGGTGTTCAATCCTCAGCTGTTCATACTCCGGGATCTGCGCGGGCGCCACCGGCAGGTGGGCGCCCTGCGGCTGGTAGCCTCCCTCGTCGGCCACGTAGCTGACCTGGTAGGTGTTGCCGTCATCGCCCACGAACTGGTAGTTGCCCTGCTGGGTGAGGCTGCCTGTCTCTGGCTGAGGTCCAGGGTACACCTGACCTGTCTCAGCCACCTGCAAAGACAGAATGCACATTATGCCTAATATCGGTGAAGGCTGATCCCTAGAACTATGCGCTGCAAAACCGACGCACAAACAAAAAGGACACTGCCACAATAAAGTTAGAACCGATGGCCTTTTCATGTGAAGTGTGATTTATGCGCCGATCATAAAAGTGAGTCATCGTATCCCCATACCCAGAAGTATGGACAGCATGAAGTGCAAGACTCAGACAAACCGCGCCCGGCTTGGCTGCCACTTATGTTACCCTCCTGACTAACAAGTGCATCCCTGGCAACGTATACGGATGACTCGCTCCCTAATCAAACGCATTTAGTCATAACGTGTCAGCAGTTCACCAGATGAGAAATCCAGTGTCATCATGTGAAATGAGTGTAATAAAATCCTCAAAAACTTACCGCCTGTCCGTTGTCCTGTTCGTAGCTGTACTCGTAGCTTCCAGTGTCGGGATCCTGATCGAACCTCTGGCTGAGAATGCGGATCTCGGGCAGTCCAGACCTCACAAACTCATTAGCGTTGTAGTTTTGCGGAGCAGCAGCAGCCGCAACCACCAGTGTAGCAAAGACGAGCTAGGGAAAAGGCCAGCGCGTTATTTAGAACAATGCCTGCAATATATGTGCACCATCTTGACAAGAAAACGCGTGATTTAGGAGTTCAACCAAAAGAAATCTCTGGCTACTAATTAGCAAATACGTAATTGCTTCTGGCAATTCGTTTTAATCCACAGAACTCCTATCTTTATTGTCTACTAACACGTGATTGTCCAAACATTTGTCACGCATTTGGAAGTTCCCGACCT